ATTTAATAGCTAATATCTAATAAAAAATATTTATTTTTTAGTAATTGTATATGCTAATAAATCAAATTTTAATATTACTTACTTGCAATGCTTTTTGAGTTTTTAAAAGGCTAGTACACATATAATAGAGACTATTCCATCGTGTTTCTCCTAGAACGGCTATAGCAATATATTTTTGATAGGTTTCATATTGCTGATCCCGTAAATGTGCAATAAAAAATTTATGGTTTGCATTTTTGAAATAAATAGCAAGCTTAATTGCACAACCAATAGAAGTTTTAAATTCAGTACATTCTTTAAAAATTTCTCTAACACAAAGATTAATTTGATGAGCAAAACATGGTAAAAAGATAATCGATCGATTAAAAAGTCTTAATCATCGTCTTATATAAAAAAAAAAATAAAAAATTTTTTATTAATTATGAAAACTACAATTTTATTTGTAAATTTATAAACTAATTTTTCAAATAATTATAGTTATATAATTTCAACATACTGAGCTGCTGCATATGCTGATGCACTATCGGTTACAACAGCACAAACTTTAATTTCTTTATTTTTTAATTCCGAAAGCATTAATTCAGTTTTTTTAATTACTTCATTATAATTTTCATGTTCAGAACTGATATTAACTGCTTTTCACACATAAGGCCTTCCTTCCGAAGTTATTAAACTGATCCTAATAGCTGCTCATTTTTTACGTTCATCCATCTGTCAAATGTTAAAGTTATACCTACTGGATCTTCTTTAAGTGTAATATCTATTGTTTCATCTGTTTCAGTCACAACTTGTTTTAATATTTGACCACCAAGAGTACGACGATCAGGCAACTTGAGAAAAGGATTTAAAAAATGAAACAATTCTTTTGCTTCAGGGTTATTAACCCATAACAATGGCCAATTACAAGAAACTATAAGCTGCAACAATAGCATATAAAATTTTTGTAAGTCCTCTCGAGATAAAGAACGAACAATGTAATTATCCAGAGGTCCAAATGATGAAGATCAGGTTACTATTTTATAAGAAGAAATTGATGATATTGAAGAAGGTTGAGATGGTGGCGTTGAAGAAGGTTGAGATGGTGATGAAGAAGGTTGAGATGATATATCCGAAACTAAAAAAAAAAAATAATTGTCAGTCCAATGTTAATTAATTTAAATAATTATAACTATCAAAATTCAAAATTTTTACATGGTCTTTTAATTGTACTTTGAGTTAAATTTGTTTGAAAAATTCCTTCTCTCTCTTCTTTGGTTGTTTTAGCAAAAAAATTGGAACATTTTTTAAAATGTTGAATTATACGATCACTTTATTTAGAAACCATGTTTTACGGCCTTCTTCTTCTCCTAATACGTCTATACATGGCTTACAAAATGTTTTAAGATTACATTTGTTAACTTTAACCTCAGTTCTAATGATATATTTTTCTAACAAAGAGGGAAGCGGCATAATGAAAAAAAAATTTTTTGTGGTTTAGATTTAATGTCTGGCGGACATATTAATTTATTCCGGACAGGTTTAGGATATATTTGGACATGTCCGTTTGACAAACTATCACAGGACATAAATGCGGACATAAATCCAGGACATGTCCAGGATATGTCTATGTCCATTCAAAATAAGGCGGACGTGTTCGCTGTACAATACTGCTTATTCTTAATGAACTTAATATTCTTAAAAATTTAATATCACTTATTCAAAAATAAGTAGTATTGTAAGAATTAATTTATTTAATAATATTTATAATCATTCATTTATATCAATGATTAGTAAATATAAAAAAGACTTGATATCTATTTATCTTTTGCTTAAACATCATTACCTATATCAGCCATTCACTGGTCGAAGTGAGGTGATATACAATAAATTTATAACTCAGAAATTACTAGTACATTTTATTATTTTAAAGTGCGATTAGGAAATGTCGATTGATGATATGCAAGCTTGTGTAAATTCAGATAAAATTACTTGTATTTTTTTATAGGTAATGATCAAGGAAATAAAATGAAGACTAAAATGAATTATTATAGTTTTTATCAATAAATCATAAAATATCGTTCATATAGGAATTATAACTTATTGAAATTTTTTTTTTTACTAAAATTTGAATTTCAAAATTAACGTTAAATCATCGATTTTTACTTGTGTTTTTAAAAATTTACATCTAATTTATAAATTATTTATTCTTTTAATTAATAGAAAGCCCAAGCTAATATAAGCAATAATTATATATGCAATAAAGATTCACATAAATATAGCTAGATTGAAAACCTTCTATTTAATGGTATTACAGCTATTGAGTCTATCTGACTATTTTGAGGGTGATAATTTACTTTCATAAATTGACATACAATTCGTTGAACTGGTATAATACTTTTATGTGAAATCTTTTTAGTCAAAGGTCTCCATAATTCAACATACTTCGTGCCATTTTGTACAGCTCCATCAAGTATTTTACGTCGTGAAATATTAAAATGATCTTTTTTATCATGCTTTCCATACTAATTAATAAAAGCTAATATATGTTCTGCATGCCCTTCTAGTAATAGAATTGAATGTTTAAAAAAATAACAGATTGTTGCTGACCAATACTCTATATTATCATTTTCATCTAGAAATGCTTCCATTACATTATCAACAAGTTCAGAATGACATAATTGTGATCCAAATCATTCATCAGCAATGCGAAGAGCAGATGCATGTATCATTGTATATGATACAAATATTGAATTATTATTTTGTCATTCAACTTCAGAATAAAATGTGTATTCAATATTAGCATAAACCAGCTCATAATATCTGACTAAACAATCAATTAGAAGTTTATCTACTATCGTTTCGTATATAGGTGCTAAAAGTTCACCAAGAATTAACTCACAACCAGTTATATTTATTTGTATTATCTGAAAGGGTAAGTTTCTTAAATACAAAGCTTCTTGGATAGTAAAATTGTATCTTGTCATTATTCCCTTATATTCTTGTTGAAATGATCGTAGCTTTATAAAAGATTCAATAATTTGATCTAAAAAGAAAGATTTTGCAATCGACATTGTATGCTGTAATATAAATTGTAAAGTAATAACATTCATCACTTCTGTAGCGAAGCTTCTTCCTGAATTTGAAATTGATGCTAAATATCTAAATAATAGCATAAATTAAGTAAATCAAAATTAAATGTGTATATTCATAATAATTCATTACTTACCCGTTAAGTCTTTCAAAGGAAAAATACTAAAAACTGTAGAGGGATCCATAATCTAATAAACAATCCTTAATATGCAAATGCATATGCATGTTTGGTATTGCAATTTTAGATCTCCAAACATTTTCAATTTATATAAAAAATCTTTCATTGCCAAATCTTCATCTTCTATTTCCTTGCAACTGATTATAGTTTGTTCCCAAAGTGAAAGACAGTCAACAAATGACTGCCAATGATTTCAATGAACTTCAGGAAGAATATCTCGTAAAACTAAAGTTGAGTAAATTAAACACCAGGATTCCATTGATCTACTGTAAATCCAGCAAATCTCAATACTATTTTAAGAGGTATTTGACCTATGTCTGATGGAGGAGGTGTATTATCAATTATGCTTTATATTCTTTTAAGGTCATATATAGAAATTAATGGTTGATCTCCAGAAGTCCATTCTTTCATTAATCGTTTTGCAATACCTAAATATAAATTATGCATAGGATCTATAATAGTAAACCGCTGAATGTTCATATAAAAAAGTAATATTAAGGGTATCCAATGAATACTATATTCAGCAAAAATTTGATTACGGGTTGTAGAATTTGATTTCTTAAAATTGTAGTCAATATTTCGATGCTTTTCTCTTGAATGTTGTAGAAGATCAGTATTAAAGTTGCCAAAATTTAGTTTCTAATGACCTGTATTATTATTTTGAATTATAGGAAAAGTATGATTAGTTCTATAGCAACCCTTTTAAAAGAATGACTTGAAAATCCTCTGATCTTAAAATAAATATAATTAAATAAATAATTATTATATATAATGAAAATATTAAATTTAAAAATGTTATTACCTTTCGTGCTGCAGGAGTATCACATGAAATTATATCGATATATTGATGTATTTCGTTACATCCAGCTTATAAGGACCAGGTATTATTCTAATAACAAAAGTATTTTCTTCATGAAATCGTATATGGCATAGTAAATTCAATATTGTTAAGTATATTATTCCAACAGAACATTGGATATGCTTACAAGGATTAAACCAATTCAAATTTAAAGCAAATCCAATATGAACTTCTAAAGCATTTTTGACAAAAAAAAACTGATTATTAGAATCAGTAAATGTCTTCCAAACCCTTCCTTCATATACATTAGCAAATATATTATCTTCAATTTCACGATTAAAACAAGATTTCATTAAATCTTCTATTCCTGACTTTAATAAAAGTATTTCTAATTGATGAATTACTGAATGATATAGATAAATTTTGATTAGCTATTATAAATTATGTTAAACATTAGTTAAATTTTTAATTAATAAAATAATAGTAATTTTTAAAATTTTTATAAAATTATTAACTTAACTTTAATTAATTTATTTCCTTTAGATGTTTGTACCATTTTTGTAATTGGTTTATTACATAACATTTAATATATTCATCTTGATTATTAAGAATATTTATTGAATAAAGATGATGACATCGAGGACAAATAATATAATTTTCATATTCTAGTTCAATTCCAAGTAATTGATCAGCACGATATATAGTTAATGGAAAATTGGAAAATGTTTCTTTATCAAATGATTGTAACAATTTTTTAAAAAAATCTAGTAATATTGCATTTGCAATTTGTGGTAACATAAATGTTTCTTGAAAGAGATAAATCCATAAAATTGCCCATCTTGTTATTTCGTTTGTATTAAGAATTGAAGGGTTATGATCAATATTAATAGGATCATAATTAGTTTTCATTATATAATGTTCTTCATCTGAACTCTCATGATCTGAATGATCTGAACCAATTTCATCAGAATAATTTTGATGCTTCTTACTAATATTGTATAATTTGTTATCATTTCAATAAAATTTTCATCATATTCAAAATCAATTTCTGAAGAATCTGATATATTAAACAAATCACTTTTTTGAATAGATATTAAAGGAACAGTTTTGTTTTTGTTTGTATTATGTGGAATAATGATTTTATTATTAGATAGAATTGTAGATTCATTTAGTAAAGGCAAAGTATGTGATAATTGATTTGAATAAATATCAAAATGTTCATAATTATTTTTTTCTGTAGTTTTTTGCTTAAGTTTGATATAAGAATTATGTTGAAGATTTTTTTCATTTATTAAGTATCATTGAAATGTCTTTTTTGATATAACTGTACCCTTACACTTCTTACAATGGCATAGTCAAGTATTCATAATAAATTTTCATGATTCAATAATTAAACAAGAATTAAATTAAAATTGTTATAAAAAAAATTAAAAAAATGTATTTATTTATATAATCATATAGCTGCGGGCATAACAATACTTTCTATTTTGGTAATAAATAATATTTGAAACTTTATTGTTGTTTTATATTGTAGATTTTACTTTGTATTGTATTAAACTTTAACATATAATAATATAAAAGACTATTTTAATATAAATATACTTTTTATCCTGTGATCTTATTTTTTTCCCACGATTTGAAAAAAAAATTTTTTTCTTCCCAAGATCTGAAAAAAAAAATACAAATATTTTTTTTTCTTCTCACAATCTGAAAAAAAAAATATAAATACTTTTTTTCTTTTCATAATCTGAAAAAAAAATATAATTTAAAAAATGAATGCAACAACTTTTCTTTCTAATATATCCAATAGTTTACGTTCTTTAGAAACATGAACCAATTCACTATCAACAATAGAGAAAATAATATCTGTAATGTCAACAAGTCTTAATACAATAACTAACAAAAATAAACCTGAATTGAAAGGAGTTCATAAAATCATTTCTAATTTAGTAACATTGATATAAAATCAACAAAAATTTGTTGAGTGGCAAATAGAATCTATTAACAAATCTATCGAGCAGTTAAAGTCAACTCAAGAAGATAGTTTGAATGATTTTTTAGTTAAACTAGAAAATCATATGACTATGGTGGTTGAGCAAATAAAAACAAATGAATATACTAATGATTTTAAAACAAGTCCATATGACTCAACTCCTATTTTAGTCACTTTAATTCGAAATAAAATGAAAACAAATGAGCTAGATGATGAAGATTCCAATGATTTGATTGAAAATGAATTTGCTTTTGATTATTCTAAATCTTTTACCAATAAAGCTAATCAAAAAATCCTTAAAGCATATTTACTATTTTATATGAAAGAATACGAATCCTGGGATGATAACTTTAGTAAGTATAAACATTGATTATTTATTTTTTATATCAATTTATTTAATTTTTTTTATAGAAAAATGTGAAATATGGTTAGAAGAGTTGATTCGACAAATATGTAATACTTACTTTGAAACAAGACGTAATATATTAAAAGCCTTATCAGAAAAATCAAAAGCTATAAAAACTAATAATCAATGTGGTAATAGAACTTTGAAGATGCGTAATAAAATCAAATTTGAGTAGAATTTTTATTATATATTGATCAATGAAGTATTAATATACATTTTTTATAGAAATTCAATACATGAATATATGCTATTGATGCATTTGGTTCAGAAATATTAGGGCATCTGATTAGAGAAATCAAAGCATTATTTGCATGAGAATTAATATCACCTGAGATTAGTGAAGATGAAGCTGAACCTGAAGGATCATAAATTGCTAATAATAAACAATCAACATCAGAAGAAATTTATTATGTTCCTTTTATTCCTTGACACAGTAATGAGGTATTATGCTTATCAAATTGCAATTTTAATTTATTTAAAAATATGAGAAATCTGTATGATTTTTTAATTTTAGGCTATAAGAGTGCGTAGAATTATCAATGCAAAAGTTGAATAACAATGTCAAGTAAAATTACACTAGGGTTTTAGTGGTGAAACAACAAACTCTCATTGACGCATACCAGTATATCCAAATAAAGCTAGATTCTATCAATTATCGTCATTTATTTTAGCCTGTTCAATATCACCAGATTTTCCACAATGGGCCATTAAGCTATATAATCTAAATACTATTCTTTCTAATGCAGTTGATCCAGATTCTGAAGACGATTCTGTGTTTCAAGATGTATCTAATTTAAGATTCATGCCTACAACTTTTAAAACAAACGTCAATTCTGAATAAACCTTATCACTTGGACTTATAAGTAAATACTTATTATTATTTATTCATTTAATTTAAGATACAAATTAATAATTATTTATATTTCACATATTGAAGATGATGATGATTTAATAAAATCATTTGCTATTCTTGATAATCAAGACATAAATTTCGAACAATTCCTCTCATTGGAAAATGATGATACAAATATTTATTTGTTTATTCTCATAATTTTTATGCTTATAGATAACAAATGACCTTATTATTAATTCACAACCTGAGGAAACATTCAATTATGGATTAACAGATTCAAATAACACTCATGATCAATCGTCATCACATCCAGTCAAGTCAAATTGAATAATAATTTTGAAAAACAAAGTAATAATACAAGCATTGAATCAAAAGAGCATAGAGTTCTATCAGAAGATGCAATTATTAACCAAAAATCAGCAGGACTTAATAAAAAACAAAGCAACAATATTAAGAAGCGATGGGTTCCATTAAAAGATGCAGCAAATAATCAAGAATCGACAGAACCTGTTCTGAAATCAACAAAATGAAGTAAATTGAATGTAGCCTAACTTTTTTGAACTACCCGTTCTAGTACTAAAGTTGCAGTCATTTCTCATAAAAATAGTAAGTATATTTTTTTATTCGCGTCTATTGTAATTTAAAAATTAATTTCTAATATTCTCTGTGTATTAGAATAAGAGATTTGCATAATTTACATATTACATTTATTTAATATATACAAGGATCATATGCTATATTTACTGTAATGTATCATTATAATTTTATTTTATTATCTATGTTATTTACACAAATATAAAAAGAATTTCACTATTATTTCTTTATAATGTATAACTCCTGATGATAAGTTTTCAGACTAATAAACTGCATGTGTTAAAAATATATAAACAACATCTGTTCTGATATATAACTTTTAGTAATGAAGTTTCATATAAGTGTAAAATACTTATAAGCAATATTTGATCTGATGTACAACTTTTATTAATGAAGTTTCGTAATAGTGTAAAATACTTATAAGCAACATTTGATCTGATGTACAACTTTTAGTAATAAAGTTTTATATAATTATATATTAATTATCTAGATGATACTAGTAGTATAAAAGGGCTTTTTGGCACAAAAAGCCCGAATGCCTTCAGAAGGTCATCCTGGGTATTACAATTTTCATATATCGAATTTCTCATATCAAATTCCTAATGAAATAATACTTGAAAGCCTAAAATCACCAATTCACTTTCTTGACTAGTTTTCATTCTGAAATCGCTTGTTTCCAAGTAGTAGAAAAATTTTTCTACTTTGGCACGTTCCTATCTGAAACCCCTTTGGAATACATCTTGGGTAACAAAATTTTTCACATATATGATCGCTAAACATGAAAGCAAATAGTGTTCACACTCTGCGGAGCGAAGCGGAGCTTGAACACAAGATATGAAAGCAAATAGTATTCACACTCTGTGGAGCGAAGCGGAGCTTGAACACAAGATATGAAAGCAAATAGTATTCACACTCTGTGGAGCGAAGTGGAGCATGAACACAAGATATGAAAGCAAATAGTGTTCACACTCTGCGGAGTGAAGCAGAGCATGTACACAAGATATGAAAGCAAATAGTGTTCACACGTTGCGAAGCGAAGCGGAGCATGTATACAAGATATGAAAGCAAATAGTGTTCACACTCTGCAGAGGGAAGCGGAGCATGAACACAAGATATGAAAGCAAATAGTATTTACACTCTGTAGAGCGAAGCGGAGCATATACAAGATATGATTGCATAGTTGCGAAGCAAAGCAGAGCATGTACCCAAAATATGAAAAAAATCAAGTGATATAAATTATCATACATATTGTATTCCTGTCACTAGCCTATCACTAGCCTGAATTTTCGCAAGCTTCCGTTGCTGATAAAATTCTCGAATACGATATTTTTCTGCATGTTTTCTACAAGCATTATAAATAGAAGAAGTCAATTTTCTGCATTCTATACATGAAATTCGTCTATGAGATTTCCAATGGATTTTACACCCTTCTGGTCGATAGCACCCTCATTGCACACTTCTCCAGTCCTAAGAATATATGGACATTTATAAAATCCCATTCCAATAGTCTTTTCTTTTTGAATAAATATATAACTCTAATTATCTGAATAAATTAATTTTCATTTTAAACTTTTTGTAACCATATATACTCTTTGAGAAAAATGAGCGGAATACTAGGTAGTATCACCAGTGCACTAGAGCAATTATTTGGAAATTTTTGGGAAGTTCTGACGCCACCTGAGTTACCCAAGCCTTCTGAACCACCAGTACTAAAAGTAGAGCCAGAGGTGGAGTCAGATGGGAAGAGCGACTATGAGGCCGCTTTAACTTACTAAAATATTCAAAATGCAGAAACAAGATGGTATTCAGCAATTCGAAGATTCCTATTTTGGAGAAAGAAAGGTAAGGATGTTGAGTTCTATGATGGAAGTACACAATGGATTGGTTCTGAAAATGACTTCCGAGATTTATCATAAGACTGGTTTTTAATCAAAGCCAATCTGAATGAAACACTTCAGGAAGCACATTTTCATTACAATGAGAAAGTCAGTGCAATCGCATGACAGAGTAGAGAACAGATTAATTTATGAAAAACTGAAACATATGCAATGTCAAGTTTGCGTTTCTTTCAAGATATTACTTTAGTTCCTAGAAAAGCAGAAGACTTAACACAAGAAGAAGATTATTGGATTATTTCAACATACATGGGAGGTCTAGTATGGGCTGAGCCAAATGAAGGAATCGCAACTGAATTAGACTTCAATGAATATTATCCGCATATCTTATCTAGTTATATGTCAAGCTGGCCAATAAGAGCAGGTGAATTTAAAATAATCACGCATATTAGGACTGATTCTATCAAGGATTACCTAAAGTATGGTATTTATCGAGTCTTCATAGGTGGTCATCCAGCAGAACAAAAATGTATAAGAGGATTTCGTTATAATCCTGCAGAATATTACATTCACTATGATTTATTATTAGTAATGGATTTAGGTCTCCACATAGAGTTATCTTCTGAAAGTTCTAATACTCTTATATTTGAGCAAACTAAGCTCATAAGCGGGCATGATATTTTCAAACAATAGGCAAGCTATCTTACAGAGATCAAGGAAGAGGGTAGGCAAGTGGGAAAAGTAGCCAAACATATGTTAGTATCACTCTGAGGACGATTATACTCAGATGGACAAAGATCAGGTCCTCATCAGCACATGACACCTTTTATTTCAGCAAAGAAATGTAAAATTATATCAGAAAAAATTAGACCTCTAGGAGATCGTATAAAGCGAATCCATATAGATGGATATATTATCTCGGATAAAGCTACTGAACAGCTGATAGAAAGATATGTAAGTAGGAATAGTGATCTAAAAATTACAAAATCAGGTGTTGTATCAATAAAAAATGTAATGAATTTAAAATGGGTTGATTTCGATGAAATAGTTTCTCCATCTACGAAATCGGAAAAATCACCTATCTATTATTTACCTTTACCAATTGAGATTCTCGATAGAATTTTCCAACATTATAGAAAGGATAGGGATAAGAAAATGTATCCTCTTTTATTTGTTAATAAGCAATAGTATTATATTGCTAGAAGACTAATATGGTAAAGAATATCTCTAACAGCTATTTCTGGGATCAAGTTTACTAAAGCATTAAGTAAAAATACGAAGTCAGCCTTATGTGCACAAGTACTAGGTCTAAAATTTATTGGAGAAATAAATATAGAGCCAGATGTCTACATTTCCAAAGTGTGTAAGGCATGTCTAAATTTACAATGGCTAAGTTTTGAAAATTATGGATCATGTATGTATACTTAACAATAAAAATCTAGAAGTGCTTCTAGCTGAGTGTCCCAATTTAAAAACACTCTCAATAAGAGGCTTTAGATGCTTAAGTCCAAAAACATTTACAAAAATACCAAAACTAATCCCTAGTTTAGGAACGATAGAAATTAGGGGGTGTTTACGGATTAGAAAGAATATAATATCTGATTTCTAAAACTTTTCCCAAAAATAAAACTCATATTTGAAGATGAATAGCCTGGTGATAAGCAGGACAAGTATTAGAGAAGTTAGGATAAATGTTTTTTAAAATTCTGTGAAATATACGGAAGAAGGAATATCTCTAGAAATGGCTCCAGAAAAATATAATAGATTCAGAATAAAACAATTTATAACCAAGTTCCTTTTTGATGATGATGCAGATACAGTAGAATGGTCTATATAAGTGGTCGCTCTTGATTTCCAATGTTATTTTAATTCATATACTGTATCATATTCTAGAACAGTGATATTTGTCAGATAAGTACAGTAATTTTTCTAGATTAGCGTAAACATAGATATTATATATTTTTTCTGACACAATAAATATACAGCTATAAAAATAATACTAAAATGAGATCACTCGAAAGTGTACTAGTTTCTGAAAAAAAAATCAAAGCATTAGAGGAAAGGCTGAATGATATAGATAATCGTTTAGATATATTATTTTCTCACTCTTACCCATCCGAGCTTAAGAAGAAGGTTAAAAAGCTAGAACGAACTGTAGACTGGATAGGAAATTATGTAGAAGAGTAGACTGGTTTAGAACCCAGCGAAGAACTAACAGATTCATTCAATTCATCTGAGTCAGATTATGATTATGTGATACGCGATCCAGAAAAGAAGATTCACAAAGTAATACATGTGAAGAAAAGATCTGGTATAAGAAGGTGAAATGTAAAAGATATCCATCCGTTCTGTTAACGTTAAATCAACTAATTATTGAATCAGCCAAATTATCTAATAATAGGTAAGAAATCTAGAAATAATCAGCGCAAGACTGCAGGGCCGAAGGTGCTTTGCATAAGTTACCTATTTACCCTACGCAGTATTTGCCATTAATAATATTTTTTTCGATTAAAGATATAGGCTCATATATTAAAGTATGGAATATAATATCAATTTGCACAATATGGAAAGTTTTAGATGAAATTATAGAAAATGCAAATAAAAATATTAAAAAGGTGTTTCTAGCAGGGGTTGCACCTGAATTTTGACAAGAAGCCTATATAATTAATCTTAAATTAACATTAGATAGATTGATACAGGAGCTAGAGTTTGCGCAAAAAGATGATTGTTCTTCTAAGCCAAGCAGTTCAGAGCAGTGATCTTCAACTCGGAAGAATTTACTGAACCAGCGACAGAAAAATAAGTGGATCATCAGACAGATTATGCAATATATTAATTTTCACATATCGAAAAGTTATAGTTAGTTTTCTTATTTCACAGGATCATTAAGAGATCATCGGCTGGAGGGACTAATCATGAAGTCTTTTTTTTTATTGATTTGCAAGGGCTAATGAATGATGCCATACTGTATGTAATTGCTAATGAAAATCCGGCAATATGATTCCAGCGAAGATCTTTGAGAATAACTTTCATATTTTGTGATGATCAACTGCGGAGGAGACTTAATTATAAAATACTGGTCACTGGAGGTCTGTTCTAGT